CTGACACGTGGCGGCAGTGTAGGGTGGTGGATGGTGGTGGTGGCCACTGTATGCGAGCTCCCCACCTCCCCAGCTGACTGGGTGGTGCCTGTGCAGTACACGGAAGGGAGCCGCTGCCCCCACCAGCCCTGCTTCTGGGAGGCAGCAGCACAGGGTGGTGGGTGGTGGCACTCCTTCCCTGCCTGCCTGTGTGTACCCCCTAGCTCCTTTCCAAGTACCACCAGGTTTACATGTACCCCTGGTTGACAACCCCTACTCTGCTTTTGTATTCTTTTCCCCTCCTGATGACTCTTCATCTGTGGTTATCGCCAATTGGTCTCTGTGGTTCTCATACTGTCCATATTCTGTCCTGTCAGCATATTCCTTTGTTCCACAAGTTCATCACACACATACATACTGATTTGGGCTTTTTGGACCTTCAGCTAATTTGGTCTGTTCCCCCACAACCAGAAAACTCAAGGTCTCACTTCTGGGCCTTGTCAGTTGGTGCCACTTTATCTCATGTTATGGAACAGTGTGATATACGCCCATAATTTCCCAGGTTATGTGTATATCCATTGGCCTCGTTGTGTTAGACACCCTGTCTGTCTTAAACTCTATGAAAACTGTGTGACTGGGTGGCCAGGACTTTAGAAATCAATTAACCCTTGCTGCCATCCTAGACTATTGCTCCAATGCATATCTTTATTATCTATAAGCCAGTTCCAAAAAGGAAACCTCTAAATACCATGTTCTAGCCATCAATGCCTACCTAAAACACCTTTTGCTTTAATGCCATGTATTTTTATTTTTTGAAGTTTAGAATTCCCAGTAGACAGATACTACTCAGTTCAAAGGCACTAAAACCCAGTATGTTGCACTTTGATAACATTTAATCTTGAAAAAAAAAAAAAAGCTCTTGCCCATAGCCAACTGAGAAGAGGGCAAGTTCTGAATGACTGTGTAGGAAACATTCCAATCAATGAGTTATTTTCAATACTGTAAATAGGGAAACTCTATGGAAAAAATAATTGTATATCCTTCAAAATTATGAGGACAGATCGCTTCATCACGTAAGTCTTTTTATTTACTCATTTTCTTCAATAATAAATTCCAACTGTTTTTCTCTGAAGATTTTAATAGCTTAAAATGTTTGAAACTCCATGGAAGGAAAGATTTGTTGTCAGTTCTCAAAGATCTCGGTTCACTTTAAATATTTAATGTTAGTGTGGGAAAAAGAGTGGGGGGAGGAAAGGGAGAGGGAAACTGAAAACTAGTGTAAATGAGTTAACAATAATAGACAAACAGAAATACAAGTAACACTGGCTAGAGAAGAGGGCAGGAAAGAAAACAAGAAAGAAAAGTGATGAAGATATTTCATGCTAAAAACAGTGTTATACATTAATCAAAGATAACCAATGCTGTTTCCTAAAGGAAGTCAGGGATCAGAAAGCATGATAGACCAGATCCCTGGACAAAAGCAGCAGAACTAAAGAAAAACAGGTACAGAAAATATAGAAAGATCACTTCACTTTCTAAGGCACTTCTGGATTGAATATATTTTTCCTCTAAGCCTCATTCTCTTCAAAAACTGCAAGTTCACTCACTATTCAATCAATTCTTTTGCCTTTTTAAAGATTCAGATATTTGAGGTTGGAGTGGGCAGAAAGGGGGTAACTTGTCTATTTCCTTCTCCTTGTTTCAATTTATGCTAGGGAGACATTTTGAAGTTGTACAACACTAACTGCACTATCACAAACGTTGGCTTGTATAAGCAAGATTGAAAACATTTGCTTTCATAAAGGATGCTTTGGATGTGGTTTTATAGTTATGGACAGTTTTCAAATGTGATTAGCAACAGTGTGGCTAATAATGTATTTTTAATCTTAATCTTTAATTTTAAAATTGTCTTTCCAGTTTGTCACTCTGGTTACTCCTGCACTCTGGCTAGCTTTGCTCCTTTCATCTTATACTTCAACACTATAGCAAATCCACATTGCTCTAGGACAAATACATTATCAGCTTCCACTTGCCCTGTGGCAGAGAAAGAAAATGCAGTCATCCACTTCAGAAACAGGTTTCTTTCAAAGTTAATTCTCTATGCAAAGTTTCCAACAGAGATCAAACAAGAAGACTGTTCTAATCATTATGTTTCAACAGTGCTTTTGGAATGCAGTATGTGGATAAGGAAATCTACTGCTATATTTTTTGCTGTTGTTGATCTCTTCTGTCCAGGCAAAAAATGGCGCATTTTAAGATGCAACACAGGCTTTGAATTTAAACATATTTGTTTTGTAATTTAAAGTGCTGATAATGTTGAACCTAAGGCCTTGAACATTTCTAGTGGAGGAAATTTTTGAGAAATATCTACCACTAGAAATCTTTCTAAGGGGAAGGATCAGTACAGGAATTCAACCTGCAGCTGCTCCCTTTCCCTGGCTCTCCACACTCTCCTCACATGGGTGATCAGTTTGGGGAAGGCAAGGGGAGCAGCAGTTGTTCCAATCCTCTGAGCCCCAGTGGAACTGGAGTAGAAGGGCAAAGCCCCTTGCTTGGTTTCCTGAACAGGCCCCCCCAGTCTAGGGACCCGGTGGGGAGTGGCTGGTCCTCCATGGCAGGGTAAAGCAAAGAAAAGCAAAGCAGTGGGGCAGAAGGCATGCAGTTTAAAAAGCCACACAGGAGAAGAATCACCCCTCCCTCACCATGCAGAACATTCAGGCTAG